GTGCACACCAGCAAGACCACCTCCCAGGGCCTGGGCAAATGTTCTTAAGCTCTTGTTTCCCAGACATCTGGACAGGCGCACAAGAAAGTGTACAAATGTTCTGTGTTTTTTTAAGGTTTCATAGTAAGCTAGTCTTCCCCTCTGCTTTTTCGAAAGTGTACAGGGCCTGTGGCCAGTGGATATGGGCCGAACCTAGACCTTACTCTTGCACATTCTGCAGCTTTTCTGGGCACTTCGAAACATCAGGACAGGTAATCAGAGTAGATGTGGGCAGAGTCCAAAACTGAGGAAATTCTTATTTTTTATTGTTTTGTTTTGTTAATCCTCACCCGAGGATATTTTTTTTCCCATTGATTTTTAGGGAGAGTGGAAGGGAAGGAGAGAGAAAGATCAATGTGAGAGAGACATATGGATTGGTTGCCTCCTGCCCTCCATCAAACCTTCAACCCAGATACATGTCCTCGACCTACATGCCCGTGATGGAGAAGCAAACCCAAGACCCTTCAGTGTTAAGGCGGACATTCTAACCACTGAACAACACTGGCCAGGGCTGGGGTAATTCTTTATACAAATTTGAACACTGAATTTATTTTTTTTAATAATAAAAAATTTAAAAAACAAATTAACCCACAGAAAACAACTTTCATGTATATAGATCTTAAAGTGAGTGAAGTGGCTGTGTTTGTTTGTTTTTCTTTCTTTTCTTCTTTTGTTGTTTTTTGTTTTGTTGTTTTTTTTGTAAAAGAGATTTGAGATGCTACGCTATTCTGATCAAAAGTAAAGTTTTGTAGTGGGACCAGAAATTACTTATCAGACCCTCCCAAACCCCACCCTATGTAGACCTGATTCTGCTGGGTTGAAAGTTCCAGACCTGCTATGAGGTCTGGAACCACTGACCAGACCACCTGGTGTCCTTCCTGCAAAATGCAGAATGTGCAGCCATGAACTGAGGGCGAGCCTGCAAGCCCTGAAGAGCAGGCCCCAATCCCAGGGGAGCAGGCGGTCCAGCACCCGGGATCTAGGCTAACAGCAAAGTTTTCACTTCAGCTATGAAGGCAGGAGGAGCAGGTAGCTTCCTCCTCCTGAAGGGGGGTGGATTCTCACTCCCTGTTAATCTGCAGTGACCAGGCCCCGGTGGTCCCAGGTAAATGTGAATGGTGAAAGTGTGAGAGCCTGTCCTCAACCTTGGTGTTCCCCAACCCCCACTCCACCCAACCCAGCCTCAGGACAGGCTACCTAAGAAAGTCTTCTCCCCACCCCACACTTGTCTGGTCAATGGTCATCAAATTGGAGGAGCATCCAATGGAGCGTGTCAATGTGAGATAAAATGTCTTTATTGTACCTGCTTGTGGTTTAGCTTTGTATTTTAAAAAAGGAAATAAATTTGAAAAGTATTTGTCATCATAAAAATAACACAAACATTAAAACATTTATTACCAGGTAAGAAAGAAAAGAAATTAGTAATGCACAATTGTTGGAAAGAAACCAGGTTCTCTAAGCACCAATAAAATCTGTATTTTGAATGATGTGAATTCTGGAATGCAGTACCTAGTGTATGGAAATTACATTGTTGACACCCAACATAGCAGCGGGCAAAGAATGTACACATGCACTTTGCAGAGAGGTCAGGTGAATGGCCAACATATGACAAGATGCTCACTCTCAATCTTAATTAGGGAAATGCAAGTTTAAACAACAATGCGATACCAACTCATACCTATCAGATTGGCAGAATTGAAAAGACCCACAAAACCAAGAGTTACAAACCATGTGTGTAAACAGAAACTCAACAGCCACAGGATTGTTTGCTTGCTTGCTTGCTTGCTTGCTTTATCTCCTGGCTTTATTAACTAGCCACAGGCTACCCAGATGAGAACATTAGTCTATTCCTGTAAGTTTAGTTTTTAAAGTATGATTACCATAACCTAGCTAAGTACCAGCTGTATATGTTAACATATTTCTTTCCATAGGAATCTGTGTTTTAAAGGTTACTGAAGTGTAACATAGCCAGAATCTATGATTCCATATAGATTTCCAGATCAGAAAATGTTTTATCCTTCCAACTCATTTTAACATCACTATCAATACACAAATAGTAAAAGCAGATTGTTTAGCAAAAAGTTTCCCTGTAAAATCCAAATAGTCGTAGCAATGTCTCTCTAGTTTGGTTCTGCTTATGTAAAATGTTACCATGTGGGGAAGCTGGGCAAAAGGTACAAAGGATGTCCTATATTATTCTTCCCCGTTTACGCTGAGGCTATAATTATTTCAAAATAAGTTAAAATTAAAACGAAAATGAGAGTATGAATTGCGGCTCAAAATTTAAAACAAAATCCTGAATGGCTTTAGGAGAACTTGAAAGTCACCTGACAGACGTGATGCCTCAGTCAGGGGGACCATGAGGCTCAATGAAAAAGGCTTATTTATGCATAACACTCATTACTAACTAGGCAGAGACAAACACTGTATGGTCTTGTCGCTTCTGCTCTCCCCAACTCCCACACCAACAAGGCTCTGAATTAGCTTCAGCTACCAAGGAACCATGTAAGGGGGAGAAAGGCCCCCCTAATTTTTTGAAAACCCAGCGAGAACACTATGCACGTAACTTATTTCGGTCACGCCACATTTGAGGCTCACTCACAACTGCACAATCCCGGGCAAACGGTCTGCCAGGGCTCTGCCGGGGCTCGGAGCTGGGTCGGGATCCTCCCCTCACCGGGTTTCATCTCGGCCCTCCGGACTGCACCGGCGAGTGGGCCTGGCTCAGGGCCAGCTTGTCTTTCTCCTGCAAGACCTGCTCTTCCCATAGCGCCGGGTCGGCCTCATCGTCGGTGAGCAGAACCGGCGGACACTTCTCATCGAAGAGCCGCTCCTCGGCCTCCGAGTGCAGCGGATGGAGCCCGCCGCGCAAACGCGCGGACAGGCGGAGGAACTCGTCGTGAATGTCGCAGCGGCGTCCCCGAGCCCCCAGCACCCACCAGCGGCCCGCGAAGCCCAAGACCAGGATCTGGTCCGGGAACGCGATCCAGCGGGTTTGCAGGAAGCGCCAGCGGCCCGGGAGAGGCTGGCCTGGGCGTCGTGGGCGCCCCAGTGAGCAGAGGCCCAGATGTCCGCAGCCCGGGCATCTGCTGCAAGTGCGCTTCCGAGCTGCGGGGCCGCGTAGCCCGCGCCAGCAGAGGAGGGCCCCCGACTCCTCGAGCCGCGTCTCCTCCGAGGCCGCCGCGCCGCCCGCCACCCCGGTGCGCGCCCCGCCACCAGCGCGCCTCGCGTCTCTGCGAGTCTCCGCGTAGCCCCGGAGCAGCGCGGGCCCAGGCGCTCCGGCTCCCCCGCTCGCCTGGCGTCCTGGCCGCCGCGTCCTCTGCCTCTTCGCGGCTTCGCGGCCAACGTAGCTCAACAGCTATAGGTTTGAAGAAAACCATATGGTTCGAGACAGTTATTACTCTGAAGGTCAACATCCTTCTTAAGTCCGTCCTCCTCCAGGCCGACACCCTAGAGAAGATCTTGTACGTGGACTCTAGAGAATATGTATAAGGCTATTCTCTGTAGCATCTGTCCACAGCAACGAACACTAAAACGGCCTCAAGGTCCATCAATAGAGAGATGGATAAATACACAGTAGCAGTTGTGATTCGATGTTATTGCTCTTGCATAGGTAAAATACACTTAACATATTAGCCATCTGAACCATTTTTAAGCGTACAATTCAGTGGTAGTAAGTAAATTCATATTACTGGGCAACTATCTCCAGACCTCTGCTCTTGCAAAACTGAAACTCTGTAGCCATTAGACAGTAACTCCCCAGTTCCCCTAACCCCAGCCCCTAGCTACTACCAACCTACTTCCTGTACCCTATGTACCTTATATAAGTAGAATCACATACTATTTGTCTTTTTGTGACTGGCTTATTTCACTTAGGAGAAGGTCCTCAAGGTTCATCCATGTTGTAGTATATGTCAAAATTGACTTTCTTTTTAAGACTCCATTGCATGGATTTACCACATTTTGATTATTCACTCACTCGTCCATCACTGAGTACCTGGGTAGCTTCCACATTTTAGCTATTATGACTAATGCTACTATGAATATGGGTGTGCTCCTTCATTCAGTTTTAACTGGACATCAAACACTTTCCTTATAAATAGTTTTAAAGTGTATAATTTCCATGTGTTATAAATATTGATATTTTAAAATAAAACTTTTACATCACTCTTTATCATAGATTATAAATAAATAATATATCAATTTTACTTCAACTATCACCCATTTTTAAAGTACAAGAACAAGCCCGGCCAGTGTGGTTCCGTGGTTGAGCCTCCTCCCATTAACCAAGAGGTCACTGGTTTGATTCCAAGTTCTGGGCTCCATTCCCAATAGGGGGTCTGTAGGAGGCAGCTGGTTGTGGTTTCTATCTCTCTTTCTCTCTCCCTTCTGCTGTCTCTAAAATCAATTTTTAAAAAATCAACAAAAACAAAGGTATGTTTTCTTTATATATAAGTTCTTTCACTTTTGGAAACTTTTTATTATTATTTTTTTTCTCCTTGAGCATATAAATTCTATCCACTTCCTCCATAGAATTTTGTTCTAATATAATAGGTTCTTGTGCTTGAAGATCTTTTCTTGATCATTCTTCTCTTTCATAAATGAATATAAATTGAAATTTTAACTTCCTATAACGGTAAATTTCTAAGTATTAAAAAGTTATTTAGATTACACTATCTTTACAACTATTAGCAGTGCACAGTTGTTCAAAAATAACATAAATAAATTATCAATCTCAAACATTAATTATTAAACATAGAAAGTAACCGTTGGTGATAGGGTACTGTAGTTATGCGAGACGCTACCATTGGGGGAACCGTGAGAGGGTAGTTCCGGATCTCTCTGTACTATTCTCTTAACTACAATGTCAATCTACAGTTGCATCAAAATAAGAAATTTCATTTAAAAAGTAACTTTGTGAGGAATCCAGCTCTTAAGAAGTTGGATAGGTCTGGAGCGTGATGAGCGGCGGAGGGACAGAGACCACCGTGGATTGTGAGGCCTCCAGGAGCAGTGGCAACAAGAGGGCCTCTCTGGGAACCGCCAGCTCGCCAGCTCACCTCATTATCAAGGGTCTTGGAGAAATTTATTCAAAGCTGTTAGATCCCAGACCAATTATTCAAGACATAACTCATTATTTTGTGAAAGAATTTGAAGAAAAACATAGTCTTCAAGACCTGTGAGTTCTTGAAAATTTGATGAACATGGTCCATGAAACGAATGAACATATTCTTCCCAAATGTAGAAAAACAGTGTAAGAGAGTTTAAACCACGTTCTCCAGAGATTGCAAGCAGCTACTGACTTTGTCTGCAGACTCCAACTGAGGGAGCAAGAACAAACCAAAAAGATTCATAACGACCATTTAATAGCTTGTGGGAAACAGCATACAAACCATTGGGCAGATTCCATGAAAGAACACAGTAAACAGGCTGAAGCGGATGAAGAGCACAGAAAAGCTGTGGAGTCCCGCCAGTGTGGCTCAGTGGATTGAGCATTGTCCTATGGACCCAGAGGTCCTGGTTTGATTCCCAGTTGGGGGCATGCAGGAGGCAGCCAATAGATGTTTCTCTTTCACATTGATGTTTTTTATCTCTCTCCCTTCCTCTCCCTCAAAAAAAAAAATTAATAAAAACATATTTTTAAAAAGCTATGGAGAGGCATGAAGAACAATGTGATGAGATGAAGAAGGATCTAGCACAATTTTCAACCTTTTAAGAACTTGAACCACAACAATGACAAAGGAGAAAGAACTTCCCCCAAAGAACTATTTCCTCCCAACCATGTAGCCTCTGCTTCAAGCTAAGCAATATATTCTATGGTACTCATACCTGAAGAAAAAAACTTCTATTGGAATCTTAATTAAATGTTGAGTGAAGAAGAGTGCTATATCTTTCCAGTTTTAAGTGGCTATATGGGATTATTTGAATGGGGAGGAGTCGGAGGAAAATGGGATAAATGTACTCCTTGTTAATCAGAATTGGTCTTCTTTATTCATTGATTATCTCAGAGAACTGTAAGCATTGACTTCTTTTTTGTTTTTTGTGGTACATGCCCCTAGCAGAAACTGAACCCGGGACTCTCTGGTCCGCAGGCCAGTGCTCCAACCACTGGGCCAAACTGGCCAGGGCAGCATTGACTTCTTAGAGAGAAAAATAATTAAATTCATTCCTATGCAGGGCTAATATTAGTTTATTATTGTGATTTAGAAGGCAGATATAATTAATAGCTGCCTGTTTTAGCCTCCTTGGCTTTTGGAAGAATGTGTAAAGTATTATTCCATGAATAATATAGAAAAAAAAATTATTCTTGGAACAGAGATCACATTTATCACATTTATCACATTTAAGAGAGGTGAGAGTCAAAACATAGTCTCTACTATGGCCAAGACAGCCATGTCGGTCTTAGAACTGCCTATTGGGAAAGGTTCCAGATTTTGCAGGGCAACATAATGCCATGTGTCTCACTGATGACATGTTAAGTTTTGTGGCCTTCCAGCACGTAGTATTTTCAGCTTTTAAAACATGCTTAGAAGGATAAGCTTACCAAAAATATAGTTGACTTTTAGCCTTTCCAAAAACCATAATATTGCTCATAGTATTTGCCTCATATTTGTGTCTGTTTTGCTGTGGGTGAGCTTTGTAAGACAAATAATGTCTATACATGTTTCAACTGTTTAATGAGTGATCAGCCAAATCTGCCAAGGAGTCCCTCTGGAACCATACAAAATTCTGGCTCTGAAGATACTGGGAGCATTTGCCCACATGGCAAATGAGCCAGGTTAAATGTAAATCCTTTTTAGTGTTTATCATCTGTCCTCATAAGCAGGTATATTAGAATGAAACATGTACTAACTCTGTCATCACTGTGATCTTTAAAAATCTGCATTTAGCCCTGGTCGGTTTGGCTCAGTGGTTAGAGTGTCGGCCTGCGGTCCAGAGAGACCCAGGTTCGGTTCCCGCTAAGGGCATGTACCTCAGTTGTAGTTTGTCCCCAACCCTGGTTGGTCATGCGGGTGGCAGCCACTCGATGTGTCCCTTTCATGTTGATGTTTCTCTCTCTCTCTCTCTTCCACTATCTCCCTCCCACTCTCTCTGAACAAAAAATGGAAAAATGTCCTTGGGTGAGGATAAAAAAAAAAAAAAAAATGCATTTAACAGTCTAATTGAGGAACTAAGTTGACTTTTCATTGGCCATAAACAAAGCAAAATTAAATGCAACAATTTCAAGAGATTTAAGGCAAATGAATTTGAGGTATGGGTAAACCTTTCAAATTTTTTTTATTACTCTTCAGTGAAAAAAGACACAAGAAGGAAAACACCCAACTCTCTCGTGTATCTCAGTGTTGCTAGTATAGAAAAGTGGACATTTTTCTTTTTTCTTTTTTTTTTTTTAATCCTCATCCGAGGAAGACATTTTTCTTGTGTAAATTTTTTGGCTTACTGTTAAAGCTGCATTCTTGGTTGCATGTTGAAAATGTGATTCAAGTTAATAGAGCAAATGAAAAAAAAGGGTTGGATAGGTCCAATTAGTTAGTGAATCCATAGGATAATATTGCTTATTGCTACAATGAGAAAGGTTCTTTCTCTACCCCATCCAAGTGGTGACAGGATTCCCAGAACATAATGCTTCTCTGGCCTTCCTGTCTTCGCTTTTGATGTCTTGTGGTTCACTTTGGTATGTTCAGAAATGGATATTTTTTACTTATTCTATTTGGCACTCTGAGAACACTTGTGTCTTTAATTATGGGAAATCTTCAGCCATGATCTCTTCTGAAATGTATTCCTTCTCTACAGTCCCTTTATTCTCCTTTTCCTAAAATCCTATGAAACATTTCACAATGCTGACCCACATCTCAACAGCTTTTCAGACAGCTCTTGTCTGTACTGCTTCTGCACGTTTCTCTCTGTTGTACATTCTCTGTGAATTCCTCAATGCTACCTTCCATTTTACTAATTATCCCTTCAACTATGTCCAATGTGGAGTGTATCCTAGTTAATATCCAAATTTTTCATTTCCAGTATGCTCAGTATTTATCATTATTCAATTGTTCTTGTTTAATTTCTGCATTTTCTACATGTTCTTATTCTCTTTATTTTAAACTCTGTTCAGACTGTTACATAATTTGCATCTCTTCTGGATTGAATTCACATCCCAATCTGAGTTCAATTTCCTTGTATATACTATTAATAAATCTACCTTCTCCCCTTCCTCCATCTTCCTTTTCTTTCAGCCATACCACGACAATGTGTTAAGGCACCATATCGACAGCATCTTGACCAAGTCCAATGCCTCATTCTAATCACTCTTTCTCCTCATTCTAACCTTATCTCTAAACCAGACGCTTTGTAAAGCCTTTCATGACCCCCTGAAATTAACTATCTCTACCTCCTCTGGTTTGCTGCACCCTGCTTTTGCTTTCATTTAGCATTTGCCAAACAAGGGTTTCTTCAAGACCAAGAGTGTGCTCTCTGTTAGGCACCCCTCTAGAAATAAGAGCAAGACAAGGTCTCTTCCTCAAGGAATAAAGGGTCTGGTCATCAAGCTGGATGAACAAACAAACTATTGCTATGCAGAGTAAGTGCTGCAGTCCAGGGATGCCCAAGATCCAAGTGGTCTATACTGCACAGGAGTGGGAGGGGGCACGATCTGAGCTCCATAAGAAGGAGATGCTTGAGCTGGGTCTTACTAAGCAGAGCTGAGGACTTTCCTGGCATGCTCAATGGCACAGGGGTGGAAAGGAAAAAGGACCCTTTCAAAAACATCGAGACACCAAGCCTAGTATATGTGAAGAAGGCGAGCAGGAAATGGGGCTGCAGAGCTGAGCATGCAGGGTCTCCGGCAACGTTTGGGACTACCCGATGTTCCCCTGGGGACCATTTGCAGCCCTTGCAGATTGAACCAGGGGATTGGCAAGACAAGGTTTTCACTGGAAGGGACCAGAAGCAATGGAAGGAACCAGAGTAAAAGGCAGCCAATTAGGAGACCATTGCAAAAGTCCAGGCAAGAGATGACAGCAGCCTAGATGAGCTTGGAGGTCCCAGGGTGGAGAAAAGTGTGAGTGGCAAAAGTGAGAGAGACATGACAGGTGCGAATGTGTGACTGAGATAAAGCAAGGCCTTTAAAAGCCTTTGTAGGCCCAAACAAGCTAACCCCTTAGGCAAGGGGCGACAGCAGGCAACCGCCACAGCCATCCTTCCAGGTGGTCCCTGAGTCAGCAGCGGAGGAACTGTGGCACAGAGCCCTGATTAATTTCCTGCCACTGCCCTCCCAGTTATGCATTCTGAATACATCTTTAACTTGTGCACATGAAAGTTATTTTATTTCCATGTTTTAAAAACGAACACCTTGAGAAAAACAAACACCTGTTTAAATTCAGCATAGAAACTCATAACTCTTATCCTATCTCTTGATTTTTTTTAACGTAAGAGGCTTGCTTGGCAGATTGCCTTCCTTCTCATTTCTTCGCACCATCCCTCCCCTGCGAGTGCGGCAGTGTGGGGGATGGGAGATTACCTGCAGGTGAGAGACAGCCCATATCCAGCCCTCTGCACACCTGGCCCTGGAGCAAGCAAGCATCCCCAGAACTTTTGCAATTGCACCTGCTCTTCTGCCTGATACAGAGCGGATGTAGTTGTGGTTACATTGAGAATCCACCATGTTCTCTGAAAAATATCATTAGGGGTATAATGCCTCCTTGGTGGGTTTGACACGTTGCTTCAGCATCCACCCTACCTCGTGCTTTGTACATGGGGGCTGCCTCTCCCATGACTGATGCTTTTCTTAGCCACAAGGCTGGAAGGCCTCCGAGCTGGCTGCAGCTCACTTCCGGGAGGCTGAGATGGGATTACTCTATTTTCAGCATTGCACCCCCAAAGTCTGACCATCATCCTACCCTACCCAGGAGCATAGTTCCCAAGATCCAAATATCTGCAGGTTGACTTTGGCTCCCCTCCGTGCCTCTTTCACTGGGCGAGGTACACAAAGATGTCTACACAGCCAGGGACACACACACACACACACACACACACACACACCAATATGCCAGGGGATCCATTGCTGAGTACCTTATTCATAACCATCATTACAAAGGTTTTCCTTCCCCATCCTCCTTCATCTTTAATGTGAAAATGTTACATATACTGGTGCAAGTCCTCAGTGATACATTATGTCTACTACAGCCTTGCCAGTAATTACAAAAATTGAGGAACTGCTTAAATGAAAATTCACTCATGAAAAGAATGTGGTAGCTCTACAGAAGCTGACATGAAAACCTTTTCTTCTACAGTTAGATAAGAAAGGTAAGTTGCAAAAAATATACACATAGTACAACTGCATGTGTCTAAAACAATGCTTCAACATCTGTCTATGAACAGATAATATCTGAGGGACACACTCAAATGTAACAGTGATTTTCTTTGGAGAATAGATGACTATGAGGAAAGTTGAGACAGAACTTTCCCTCTATTCTTCTTTGTACTGTGTAAAGTTTTTTGCCGCGACCTGGACAGCTAGTCGAACTAGACCTGAGGAGGGGCGACAGGAGTCTGAGAAAATCACAGAGACTAAGAAAGACACAGAGACATTCTAGAGAGAAAAGCTGGGGCCAGGTGGGACCCTGCTTTCTGATGGAGAAACTGGCCCGGAGCTTGCTCAGCCAGTTTATTATATAGCCAATTGAAGGGGTTCAAAAGCTTCATTGTTCTCAAACACCAAATGTTTCCCCTCGGCTTCTGAGCTCAAGGTCCAGACTTTCTTTTTTTTTTTTTTACGTGCCCCTAGCAGGAATCGAACCGGGGACTCTCTGGTCCGCAGGCCAACGCTCCAACCGCTGAGCCAAACCGGCCAGGGCAAGATCCAGACTTTCGATACATTCTTGCCCGCAGCCAGGACGCTCCTGTGTGGGCCTTGGCAGCACACAGGCAGAACAAGAGACCTGGGGCAGAATGTTACTGCGTGGGCCCTGCCAGCACCCAGGATCAACATACTGCCTTGGGACTAAAGGCTTCTGGGCGAGACTGTGCAAACACCACAGGCCTTTGTCACTTGTTTTGGAAGTTCCTGGGCGAGCCCACGCAAACATCACAGGAAAAAGAGACTGTGGCTCAGCCGCCCTCCACAGTTTTTCAAGAATATGTAATTCTTGTATATTAAAAAACACTTTTTAAAACAGTTTCAAATATAAAATGTTAAATGTTCCATGTTTAGGAGGCATTTTGATGCTTCAAGAAGTAGCAGGGGAGCATTGAAATCAAAGTAATTTTTTTAAAGCCCATTCGACACCTAAGTTAGGATACCAAGAAGGGAGTACAGTTCATAAAGGCAGCTCAGCTCAAGCTGTGATGTGACATCCAGGGGGTGTCTGGGACATGGTCCCCACCAGACAGAACTCACAGGTGGGGCAGACACATGGAACAGATAATGCCAGGTGGCTTGACTCTAGAACTAAGCAACAGTATGAGGTGCACCCAATACAGGATTCAAAGTGGAAAGACCTGGAAACCGTGAAGAAATGGGAGGAGGGCACCCACTGGTCTGAAAGGTTTCAGAACAGCAATAGACAAAAAGGAAGGGGACACACTTGTGCCAGGGCCAGAAAGGGAAAACATTCACCCAGGCTACACACATGTCCCTGCTCAGCACCCAGAGCCAGGGATACAGAGAAATGAGGTCCGAGACCCATGGCACTGGAGCTGGCCCCAGGGCTTACGCAGAAAAATCTTCCAAGCAAAGGGAACAGCAGAGGCGAGAGGAGCCCTGAATTTAGATAATGTCAAGGCTGGTGAGAATGCAGCTGTGGAGGACTGGGCAGAGGCTGGGAGAAGCCATCACTCAAAGGCTCTGAGCCAAGCCAAGGTTAAGCTTTCTGGGATGTCCTGCAGGTCGTGGGAGGCAGCCAGAGCGACACTATCAGATCTCTTTATGAGACTAATGTCCACAGCTGGAGGACTGACCAAGAGAGAGACTGGTGTGGGGCTGTTGCAATGAACCTAAGAAGGGATTAGTTGGTCTTTGAAGCAAAGGTTTAGCCGCTGGAAAAAGGTGGAAAGTGTGTGATCTGCAGAGAACCTCCAGCCCCACAAGGTTGGGATGTCAGCTTCACCACAGTCCCACCTCCGTGAACACCGGACCACCGTGATGGAGTTCCCCAGAAGTGGGTAAGTCATTGACTCCTCTTCCTGCTTAGCCCTCAGTGCCCACCTTGCGGACAAATCTCCAAGGAACAGTGCTACAGACACTTTGAGTGAGGGCAAAGGAAGTGGACACTCCTATCTGCTTTCCTGCTCACTCTCGCCCTCATTTTTTGAAGTCTCTAATCTCTCCTTATCTTTTGTCACCCCCATAAGAATGCCATTTCCAAGCCTTTTTTTCCCCTGGACTTCAAACCTGCAGTTCTCAACTGCCCCCAGCAAGGCTCCTGTTCAAGGGACCCAAGTCCCTCACTGGGCTGGAAGGTGACAACCGCAAAAAGGAGGGTGACTATCTCCTCCGCGGAGCTTCGATGACATCACATCCTCCGAACGCAAAATCGGCTCTGCGGCCGTCCGAAGGGCGCAATTTCCCCCCGGGGTGTCCCACGGTCTCCTGCGCGCCGGCACGCGTGTCTGGCCGGAGCTGGGCCGCGCCGCGGGGGCACGCCATGACCTCGCCCGGGGCCGGGTTGCTCCTGCCGCTGGCCCTGATGCTCCGTGAGTTTGCGACCCTCGGGGAAGGCGGGGTGGGGGGCACGGGGCTCGGGCTCAGCTTCTTCGCCTGCACCCCCCGCAGACGCTGCCACGGTCCTCGGGTCCAGCCAGTTCCGGATGTCGCCCCGGGAGGTGAGGGGGACCCTGGGCCAGCGGGTGGAGCTGCAATGCGAGGTGCTGCTGACCACGGCGACCGGCTGCTCGTGGCTCTTCCAGCGGCGCGGAGCCGCCGCCAGCCCGGTCTTCCTAATGTACAGCTCCAAAGTCCGGACCAAGCTGGCCGAGGAGCTGGACGCCACCCAGTTCTCCGGCGGGAGGACACAGGACAACGTCTACAGCCTGGTCCTGACCCGCTTCGGCGAAGAGAACCAAGGCTACTACTTCTGCGCGGCCTTGAGCAATTCCGTTCTGCACTTCAGCCCTTTCGTGCCCGTCTTCTTGCCAGGTCCGCGAGCCCAGAGCGCGGCACCGCTCGCGCGGGGGTGGGGGCGCACCTCGAACCCCGCTTCCACACGGACGTGCCGCTTCCAAGCCTCTTAGCGCCCCTGGGAGCCACTTAGATACTGTTCCCATTTTACAGACGAGGAAACGGAGGCTAAGGTGGGGCTGGGTGGGGACTGAAGATAGCCGGTTCGGTCCGGCCGATCTGGGTTCGAGTTCGATGCTTGTGTGGTCCTGGGCACGTTCAATTCTCTGGGCCTCCATGTGCTCGTCGGTATCAACCCAAACCCACACAGGAGCGCGGAGAGAGGCTGGTGGAGGGGAGCGGCTCTGCGTGCCCGTCCGAGGCGCCGACGTGCACCTCTGCGGAGCCCCAGAAGCAGCAGGCACCGCGCCCGCCACTAAGGGGTCGGCGCAGAGCCCAGAGGTTCCCACCCCGTCGGGAGGAAGCGTCCCCTAGGGCAGAGCGGTGCAAAGGGTTCGCGTTCAGATCCCCAGACCGGCCCCAACCCTGCTCTGTTGCTCCCGCAGAGAAGCCCCCCACGACGCCCGCGCCGCGACCACCCACGCCGGCGCACACCAGCGCATCGCCGCCGGTGATCCTGCGCCCAGGGGGGTGCCGGCCGGCCGCTGGCTCTGCAGGTGAGGCGGGAGCCGGACCCCGAGGCAGGGGCGGGCCAGGGGCTGTACAGACCGAGGGGAGAGCCCTACCAGGGCCAGCCTGGGTCCTGGAGGTAGAGCCGAATGCCGTGCAGGTGTCGGGAAAACGGAAACCCGGGGCCGGGAGACGTGCCGGGCGGGTGGGGTGGGGTGGAAGACCCGGCCCCGCTCCTAAATGTCGGTGTCTTCGGTGTCGTCAGCGGATAACAGAGGACTGAAATTCGACTGTGCTATCTACATCTGGGCGCCTCTGGCTGGGATCTGCGTGGTTCTTCTCCTGTCCCTGGTCATCACCGTCATCTGCAGCCGCAGTAAGTCCCGGGGGATCGCAGCAGGGAGCGAGCGGTGCGCTCCGCGAGCGCCCCTTGCGCTGCTTGCTCCAGGCAACCCTTTCGGGGAGACGGGGTGGAGATTTCTGGGACTCCGAGCTGCACTGCTGGGCCAGGCACAGCCAGTTTCCTCCTGGAGATAGGACGCGGGAAAGCGTCCTGCTACGTAGCCCCAAGCGGCAGCAGCATGGGACACCATGCACTGAGCCTGGAGTAAGTGCACAGGTCCCGGCCGCTTACAAACGTCTGGGAGGTCGCCTGTACAGGTCTGTCCTTGGCCCCCTCGCCGTGAATCCCCTCCCCGGCTCTGGTTCCCAGGCAGGTGAGCCACATCTGTATTTGCCATGTGCTTCTTTTCTTGTGTTTGCTTTTGTTTTGTTTTTTAAATTGATGCGAAGAGGGATGGATAAGAAGCTCCCACCTGGACTCTCAAGAGTTATAAACCTAAAGAAACAGGAAAAGGGAAGAAACCATATTTGGGGACTGTTTGGGGGGCAGTCACTCTACCCCTTCTTTTTCCTTATCCAGGGAACCGAAGACGCGTTTGCAAATGTCCCAGGTGAGTCTCATAGCTGTGTGGCCTGCTAACCCCCAGGGCAGCCCAGGGCTCAGGTTCTAGCTTCCTAAACAGGAGATGATGGGCACCTTTCCCAGAGGCCATGGCAGTGGAGCCCTGGGGACAGGGAATCAGCATAGTGTCTGAACATAGAGGCAGAAAGCTGGCAACTGGAGAAAATGGAGGCCCAGGTTGGCTGATGGAGGAGCAATGTGACTTCAGTAAATCTGAATCTTACTTGGCCTAGCACACGCCCGCACACACACACACACACCATCTGAAGGATTCCTCTAATTTACCCTGGTTCCTCAAAAGACCTGGGGTCTCTTTATCTGGATGATGTCAACTGGGTTTTATTTTTTCTTAAGAAAAATTTATTTCTACTTGCTTGATCTAGTTTTTTTGAGAGTCCATCTTTTATCACCTGAAGCAAATAAATAATGGCCTTGGTTCTTAATTTCCCTGTGCCAATGCAGGCTGCCTTGGTTGGCTGCCAAGAACTGGAGTGAAAGAAAGGGAGGACCAGAGGCAGCTATCTGGCAGCTCAGGTGACTGCTCCATCCAGTTTCAGCTCAGGATTATCCTGAAATGATCCTGCAAAAAGCAAGGCCTCAGCCTCCTCTCTCCTTCTCGCTAGGCCTAGGCAGCCCTGTGCTAATATGGGACAAACACCCACTCTAGCCCCGCACTGTGATGCAGATCACACTCAGGATCTCACTTATCCTCACTGCAGCCCCATGTGGTAGACAACATGGTCTCATCTCAGATCCCTGACTCAGAGATCAGGAAACCCGCCCAAGATGTCAGACACATGCTCACACTCAGATGGTCAATAATAGCCACCATTTGATGAAAGCCTACAGTGTACCAGTTATTTGCCATATTAATATATATGTATACATATTTTAAATTTCAAGTTTCATAACAACTTTTATTTTTTACTTTTTAGAAAGACAGTCTCTATTTTGTTGTTGTTGTTGTTAATCCTCACTTAAGGATATTTTTCCACTGATTTTTAGATAAAGTGGATGGGAAAGAGAGGAGAGAGAGAGAAACATTGATATGAGAGAGAGACATCGATTGGTTGCCTCCCGCACAACCTTGACCAGAGCCAGGGATCAACCCTGCAACTCAGGTACTTGCCTTTGACCAGGAATCAAACCCGAGACACTTTGGTCCTTGGGCCAACGCTCTAACCGCTGAGCCAACCGGCCAAAACCAAAGCAGTTACCATGACCACTATTTTACGGATGGGAAGCTGAGGCTTAGCACGCACAGTGTCTTGTTCAAGGCCATAATGCCAGCCAGTGGCAGCTTCTGTCTAAAGCTCACGCTCCTTCCTGTGGTTGGGAGCTAAGAGAGGAGGGGGGTTAAGGAAAACCAATGATATTCACCAATTCCGTTTAGTAGATGAAAACATTTCAAATATTATACCTGGGGTCTGCAATTCACACTCTTTGATATTTCTCTGCAGGGATCCAAGTTCAACATCTTACATATCATTATTTTTAACAACAGAAATGTAATGAATTTTCAATGCATATATTGTAGGTGGTATACTAAGGGGATAAAGACTTTAAAAACAGAAGGATTTTGAGCAATTCCAATACTTGGGGTGCAGCTGAGAGCTTTTGGAGGATAATCATCCCTTTTCTCTATATTTTCTGAAAACTCTCATTTTGAAATGAATAACCGAGAATAAAACTCTGCCCTGAAATACAAAGCTATGCAGATTAAACATATCTAAGGAATCCACACACCTGAGCTAACACACTCAGTGATGACCGAGGGCAGCTCAGCTTTAGGAGAGAGGTTTTGGAGCATGGTATGTATAGACATGACACTCATGACAAATTAGCCCATTTAGGGGGCACTAGCCCAGTACTGAATTAGCACACATTTCTGGGATTATCAAGGGGATTATCAAGGGGACTTTTATTTATTTTTTTTCTTTAAATCTTCACCCAAGAACATTTTACCATTTACTCTCAGACGGAGTGGGAGGGAGAGAGAGAGAAACATCGATGTGAGAGAGCCATATCCACTGGCTACTTCCTGCATGACCCCAACCAGGGCTGAAGACTGATCTGCAACCAAAATTTGTGCCCTTGACCGGACTCGAACCCGATTCTTTGGTCCGAAAGCCGAGGCTATAACCACTGAGCCAAACTAGCCAGGGCTCAAGGGGATTTTTAAATAAAGCAGCCCTACTTGGCTGATGGTGATGGTTTGTTCATATCCTCCCCTATTCCTGTGACTCCCCCAAGAGCTGAGATCAGGTCAGCTGATGACTTTGGTTATCAGCCTCCCTCTCTCACCTCCATGGGGATCTTGACAAAGGTCCTGGGTTCAGATCCAGAAGCCACCGCCTCCTAGTTATGTGACTTTGGCCACGTTGTCTAACCTCTCATTACCAGTGCCCACCCCTCAGGCTCGCACAAGGAAGGCACTTGGCAGGGTGCTGAGGTCACTCAGCCAGCCCTGTGCTGGTGTCCCAGGGACAAGTTCTCAGACCCTACAGGCTGGGAGGTAGGGAGGGTGGCAGACACGGGTGGGTGCTGCACTGCCTTGCAGGGCTCTGCTGCAGTGACGGTCGTCTTTCTTTCAGGCCCCTGGTCAGACCGGGAGGCAAGCCCAAGCCTTCGGAGAGATTCGTCTAACACGGCGACGGGCCCTGTGCGACAGCCACTACAAGACTTCAGACTGATCAAGACTCTCCCCGTCTCCCCTTTTGTGTTTTTCCGCCTTCCTTCTTCATGTATTCATTCTCGTTATTATCATATCCGTTGTCTTTAATTGACATAAAACGAAACTGTGTCTGCGGTACTCTGTAAGGGTAACCGTACCACCGTGCACACACATCGGGAAAGGGCCGGCTGTGTTCTCAGAACCAGGCAGTGAGAGCTGGTGGGGGCCTCAGGACCACTTGGTCCAAACCTCTTCCTTCCCTGGCCATTTTACAGAGCTGAAGCCCAGAGCTGGGGAGAGGCTTGAACGGAGTGGCTGCAAGGCTGGGGCTTCCTCCACGGCACTCGGATCTCCCTTCGGGAGCCTGTCTCAGCGGGCTTCTGTCTCAAATCACAAGGGAACGCGTCGTTTCTTGAGCCCCTGCGATAGACCCGTTAGTGCAGCAGAGCCCTGAGAAGGTCACGAAGAAGAGAACTTCTGCCATTCACAGAGGTCTAGAAGGTAGTTGAAAAGTACCAAAATAGCCCTGGCCGGTTTGGCTCAGCGGTTAGAGCGTTAGCCTGCGGTCTGGAGAGACCCGGGTTCGGTTCCAGCTAAGGGCACGTACCTCGGTTGCAGTTTGTCCCCGGCCCTGGTTGGTCGTGCGGGTGGCAGCCACTCGATGTGTTCCTTTCACATCGATGTTTCTCTCTCTCTGTTCCTCTCTCTCCCTCTCACTCTACCTGAACAAAAAATGGAAAAATGTCCTCGGGTGAGGATAAAAAAGAAAAGTACCAAAATATTTTACTGTCAATTGTGAAATTGTATACACAGCAGGAATTTCTCAAATAAAGTGGAAGGGGTGAACTGAACCCTGGAAAAGGAAAAACTCGATCCCTACAGAAAATCTCTGTGAAATCTCTAAGTGGAGGCAAAATTGTCCTCCCAGACAATTTTGAAAGAGGAGAGGCCATCAGGAAAGGTGAATGGCGGGCCTCTTGAATCTCTAGACTTCAGATGCCACGTTTGAACATGCTCCTGGGATCATTGGTGACTGTTTAGTTTTTAAAGGCAGAATTGTTAGAGAGCCGCCAGCAGCACCTCGGCCTCCCCTGGATCAGGTGTCCATGTGGCAGAACAGACTGTCCCGGTGAGGGGGTGAGGAGGCTAATCGCCTAGCCTGTTGCCCTGGGCATGCATCTCCTCTCGTACGGTGTTGTGCAAATGTGTGCTCACTGCAAGAAACAGCTTACATAGACAAAGAAATAGAATACCTCCAGTAAAACCCTTTGTTAATATTATGGAATACTTATGAATATTTTCTATGCATGTGTATAAAATACACACTTTGCTTTTTAAAGAAGTACTGGAATTGCATTATGCTTTTAATAAGTGGTTTTAATAAACATGGCATACTTTTAAGTGGCAAAATAACATTCTATTTTTGGTTGTGCCTCATCTTTTTAAACTATTACCATTTAATTTTATCCAATTTCTCACTACCATGACATGGCTAAAACTTTATACACATCTTCGTTTTCTTTTAGATAAATACCCAAAAGTAAAATTATTGAATCAGTCCACATTAGGCCTAGCCGGGTGACTCAGCTGGAGTGCTGTCCTGTACACCAAAAGGTTACCGGTGTGATTCCAGGTCAGGGCACATACCTAGGTGGTGGGTTCAATCCCTGGTTGGGGCACATACAGGAGGCAACTGATCAATGTTTCTCTCCCATCCCCTCTCTCTCTCTAAAATCAATAAAAACATATCCACAGGTGAGAACTTTAAAACATTAGCCTCTTCTTCAATCACCTTTCCTCTTGTTTTTCCTTGGTCACAGAAGAGCTGGTACCCCGCTCATAATAATCACAAAACCTTCATTCTTCCTGTTGGGGTAAAATGTACACACAGAAAAGCACGCAATCGTGAGAGCTCAGCTCCCGGCCACCGCTCAGCCAGCACCAGGTCAAAAGCAGAACTCTTCCTGCCCTGGCCGGTTTGGCTCAGCGGTTAGAGCATCCGCCTGCGGTCCGGAGAGACCCGGGTTCGGTTCCCGCTAAGGGCATGTACCTTGGTTGCAGTTTGTCCCCAGCCCTGGTTGGTCGTGCGGGTGGCAGCCACTCGATGTGTCCCTTTCACATCGATGTTTCCCTCTCTTCCTCTTCCTCTCTCTCCCTCCCACTCTGTCTGTACAAAAAATGGAAAAATGTCCTCGGATGAGGATTAAAATAAATAAATAAATAAATAAATAAATAAATAAATAAATAAATAAATAAAAGCAGAACTCTTCCTGCCCTCCACCAGCTGCCTTCCACAGCCTTAATTTGTAAAACCCAAATACTATTACAAAACAGAAAGCAAAAGGAAAAGGCATCCCAAATGTCAGAAAGCAGAAGTGAGAGCCGAAACACTTCTGACAAGAGAAAAAGTCTAAGATGTCCCAAATTCATTTATAGCAGGCCAGAGACGGAGGGAAAGAGACAAGAGTAATTCCCCAGTCAGCGGCCACGGGCCAAGGAGCCAGGAGCATAGGACGGCTCAGGGTCCTGAACGGAGGCTGGAGCTTTGAATCAACATAGGAAGGCCGTCGAAAAGGAGCAGACCGGCCCTGGCCGGTTTAGCTCAGCGGTTAGAGCATCGGCCTGCGGTCCGGAGAGACCCGGGTTCGGTTCCCGCTAAGGGCATGTACCTCGGTTGCAGTTTGTCCCTGGCCCTGGTTGGTCATGCGGGTGGCAGCCACTCGATGTGTCCCTTTCGCGTCGATGTTTCTCTCTCTCTTCCTCCCACTCTATCTGTGCAAAAAATGGAAAAATGTCCCTGGGTGAGGATAAAAAAAAAAAAAAGAAAAGGAGCAGACCCATCAACAGTAAACATTTCTTCCTTATGAACCGTGCACCACCCAGGAACTGCCCCAGTTCACCTTTCGATAAGCCAATGTAGATTCGTTCAAAACGCCCTGGCCAGTGTGGTTCAGTGAGTAGAGCATCAGCCCTCTCACCTAAGGGTCGTGGGTTCGATTTCTGGTTAAGGGCACTTACCAGGGTTGCAGTTTCGATCCCCAGCCCCAGTCGAGCATGTGTGGGAGGCAACCAATCGATGTGTCTCTCTCACACTGATGCTCCTCTTTCTCTCTCCTTCCCTCCCTCCTTTCCACTCTCTCTAAAAATCAATAGAAAAAATATCCTTGGGTAAGGATTAAAAAACAACCAAAACAGCCCTGGCCAGTTAGAGCATTGGCCCTCGGACCAGTGAGTCTTGAGTTTGATTCTGGTCAAAGGCACGTACCTCGTTGCAGTTCGTCCCCGGCCTTGGTCAGGCTAGTTCGCGAGGCAACCAATCGATGTGTCCCTCTCACATCAGTGTTTCTCTCTCTCTCTCCCTCCCTCCTACTCTATCTGAAGATAAATAGAAAAATGACCTCAGGTGAGGACTAAAAAAAAAAACCCATCAGCTCCAGGACAGCAGACATGTCTTCTCCATGTGGTTCTGCCGCTGGTGGTTCAGGCTGCATGTCCTGGGCCTGGTCGGGGCCTGGTCCTTGGCCTGGCTGGCATGGGGCACAGTAAACCCTTCTTACAGAAGAGCTTTTGGCTGTGAAAGTTTTTAACATTTCCTATGAGACAAAGTCTTGGTCTTGCCCCCTCCTCCCCGAATCTATCCAGCTGACCAGACCCAGGGGACATGACACCCCAGAGGCCGAGGCTCAGCTCGGAGCAGTTTCTTTTTTGTTTGTTTTTTTTGTTGTTGTTTTTTTAGGGAGAGAGGGGGGAAGAGAGAAAAATAGATGTGAGAGAGACACACCAACTGGTTGCCACCCACACGACCCCAACAGGGCCGGGGACAAACTGCAACCGAGGTACGTGCCCTTAGCGGGAACCGAACCCAGGACTCTCCGATCCACGGACTGACGCTCTTACCGCTGAGCCAAACCGGCCAAGGCGCGCGGAGGAGTCTCTGAGGCCTCAAGTGGAAGCAGGGCCTGGGCTCTGGGCTGTTCTCAGGAAAGGGTGAGGAGGAGCATCCTGCAACGGGCACGCCCTCCTCGTGGGAGAAACCCGTGAGCTGGCTGTGGCGTGAATCCGGGCCCGGAGAGGACAGGGAAAGGGACGTCCACCACGTGCGGCCTCGTCAACCTGCAGCCAGGCGCGCAGCAGCCGGGGAGCCACCCTGCGGGGGCTACAGAGAGAGCGAAGTACGTACTGATCTCTTTTCATACCTCCTCAAACAGGGTTTCGCTTACCATAAATAAAATGGTAAACAATAACTTAGAGATTAAAATAGCAACATAGGAAAAGTATTCATTAGATGGGCCTTCAGGACCAGGGAGAAAATAGAAAACTCCACCCACAGGCCATGAGGCCTCACCGTGCTGGAGGTGGGCTGTGAACTTCAGCGGGGGGTTTGCTGGCAACCACAGACAGCAGCCCGTTCCTGCCACAGGTGTACCCCGCGTCCGAAGCTGGCAGCCTCGGGCTCAGCAGTAAGACTCCGCTTGCCGATCTGCAGCCTCCAGCCTTGTTTCTGCAAGAGCGTCCGCGTGGACGATGCCCACAACACATTTTTTGGACCCTGAAAAACAGGAAGTGGAGAAGTGACGTCTCTGTTATGCCTCAGACGTGGTTTTGGGTGACTGAAATCCAGCCTCAGTGTGGTTCGTTGAACAAACATTCATTCCTTTAACAAAAACCTATCCCAGTTGTAGAAGAAATAAAACAGATACATTTGTCATTTCTTAAGAATGACAAGTGTAGGATGGGTTCTTAAGAGAGCCCACCCTACACTTGGAAATCCCCTGAATTCTTCAACCACAGGGTCAGAAATAGGTCTCCCTTTTCTACCAGCAAGAAGCCCCTCCCTCCGACCCTCTGCCCATGTGCAAACCCTTCCCTGCACATGCTCTGACCAGCTGGGGTGGGCACCACTAAACCCGCTCCTAACGCAGTGTTTCTCCACCGCGGGGAACTCAGGGAGGCCCCGAGTGCCTTAGATTCTGTTAAATGTTGAGGCTCTGAAACCAGTTTCCAGGTTCTATTTAGTAACTGTGTCCTCTGACAAGTGACCGAATGTCACAATCCCCCAGTTTCCCCACTTGTAAAATGGGG